TCTGAAGCACGAAATTCATGTTTCAACGGCCACGCCTCACGCAATCAGAAGCACAAGTCTCACGTTTCAACGGCCACGCCTCGCGCAATCAGAAGCACAAGTCTCACGTTTCAACGGCCGCACCTCACGCAATCAGAAGCACAAGTCTCATGTTTCAACGGCTGCACCCACGCAATCAGAAACACAAGTCCCATGTTTCAACGGCCACGCCTCACGCAATCAGAAGCACCTCGCACTCTGAGATTGGCTCGCAGTGCCGAGGTGCTTTGTGGTCCCCAGTGCAATTACGCAAGATTTCTCGTTCAATTTGCACGGTCTCGTGCAGTTCCAAGCTCTGGGAATGCCACAACAATAGCTGCCTGATGCTTCCAAGGCATCACTGGCTGAATTGTATTAATTGTTAAATAATCGAACCCTCAACCTATTGCATAAAAATCGTTCCTTATTTCTGCTCTTGCAATTATGCATGCCGAGTTTTATTTGTAATCCTGGTTCAGATTATTGCCACCCGTGGGAATGAAATCAAAGAATATTTAAAAAAAGGGTTCTCCCTATTTTTCATATCCTAACTGATTTCGCTCTAGAAGAAATTCTTTAAAAATTTGATTTATGAGACAATGTTTTAGGTCTATATGTGAATTGTGAATATGTGTTGCATGTATTAGATCCATTTTCTACGCCCTAAAATCGCAAAAACAATGCACAAATTTCAAGGAGTTTGATTAACACCAGTTTCGGTCTGTGATCACTTTGCTGGTTTTACTAGTACCAGCACCCCGGTGCTGCATTATATTGCGGCGATTACTAATACCAGCAACGAGGTGTGCGTTACATTGCAAATATCGCTATTACCAGCCCCGGTTAGCAATAAAATTGTGGGCATTTCGATTACCCGCTTCGCTAATGAGGCAAACTCCCGAGTCGGCAATAAAATGGCTGGTATTGCCAATCAAGCGCGCTGGCACGGACAAAACTTAGACGCAAACAACAACAAAGCTCGGCGATTTATCGCTATCATCGCTATGCCGCTAATTGCCTCGTTAGCGTCGCAAATTACAGAGCTAGAAATTAAAACGAGGAGCCCTTCAAACTAACTTATTCGTGACCATGCAAAGCGATTATCCTTTGAATAATTACAGTGCGATCGGAGCTGCCGTTCATTTGGTTGCTTATTCACATGATCCATATAAAGAAGCTCTGAATTTTATTTGAGACAAAGTTTCTAAAACTTTAACGATTATTGATGGGTGATAATTTAAATAATTTTCATTTATGAAATTTTAATTATTTATGGTAACAGTATTTTCAAAATTAGTATTAATTGCGATGATTGCATGATATTATTAATATTATTGTTGGGTCCAATGTTGTGTATATGAAATATAGATGATAGGGACAAGTTGATTTAACTAGAAATTTGTTATTGAAGGATTTCCTGAGTAACGACGACGACATTTTGAATTGGAAATTGCATGCTTTTGGACTGCTATTTTATTTGTATCATTTGATGGTATGCTTGCACTGTAATATAACGGGGAACATGGTGCCCAGCTTATGGCATCGCTCCAATATTGATATGAATATTATTTGAAAAAGATTCCGATTAGTTTTATGAAGGTGTATTTTACAGGAATTTTGGATTTCACTCACGCAAACCCAACGAGGGACTATTTGATTTGCAGGGCATGCAAGCAGGATTGGCACAAGTGATAGAACAATTAGTCTAGTGATTTTTTTCGTGCTCTTCGCCATGTCATTTGTACGACTACTATCAATATAGAAGTCAAAGATTTAGAAATTCTACTTTCGAACTATTAAATCTCATTTCCTGATTTTGGCTCGCCCAATGCAATTAATTTACCAACTGCTAGGCTTGTTTTCCCGGTGCGATGCTTAAGAAATGAATTGTATTTCTTAAAACTATAATGAGCTTCTTAGAACCGTTGATCCAAATTTCAACTCAATTAAATTGAAAGTGGATGAGACAAGAAAAAGCTCTTCTTCTATTTTTAGATTAATTGCCACTTGATGACACTACAAATTCTTTCTTAACGTAGTCTTCAACCATACTAAAAGATCCGTCTTAATAATTCCTTTTCAGATCAAATTTCAACGAAATTTTGATAGTTTGATAATTTTTAATAAGTTTGATAATCAAATTTTTGTTAGTTTGATAATTTTTATTTATTTTTTGATAAATTTTTACTATTATTTTTTTATATTAATAACAAATTTGATAGTTTTTTTAATAATTTTGATAAATTTTGATCATTCACATCCTCCATGAGCGCGTAAACGCAGCAAGGACCCACGTTTAATTCAAGCTAAGCATGTGCAATTTAATTTGAAAAATTGCACATACTCTGATACTTTAGCTTTCAAAATAATCATTTTAATATTGTACTTCGTATATTCTTAACTCAAAACATCTTAGCAGCATCGCGACACATTAATTTTAATACTTGCTACCCTGCTACGACGGTTTAGATGCGCGTTCTCTGATTACCTGATCAACTCGCAGCAGTTCGTATGAAACTAAAATTAGATTAAATTTACTGGGTGGCATAATAATTCATCGATACCTACTGAAATTATAAATACGGGCTATGAACCTGATTATCCTATGGATTATAAAAATTTTTTGAAAAATTTTCTTAAAAAAGATTCGATGAGGAAACAGCCGAAATGGGTCCTAGAACCGGTGATTGGGTAGTGATAGCTGTTCAAAATTGCGAACATAAATTTTAGGCCATGCGGCTAAGGGTGAATCAAACTTATCTAATTGCACGTAACTGTGCTTCTCCCAAATAATTAATTTAGAGCGAACAATGGCTTATTGTTAACATTGTCCCTTGGTATTTTCCCCTAGTTTTTATGGTGACGTTGTTTACCCATACATTTATAGCGAACAAGTTTCAACCGGCCATATATGCCAAGATACGTTGCTCTAAAAAATTAAGGCAGCTTGAATCGAGTAGTTTCGCTGCAATTTATTAGTAAAATGCTTTATAGGTCAGATACGACGAGAGATTGTCACCTAAATTCTCAAATCTTGTTGCTAAGAAAACTTTAAATAATGTAAATAAAAACAATATTCTAATAATATATAAATAAATAAAAATTCTGTGAAGTTACGATAATTTTATACGGTTTTAGGGCTGGAAGTTTAAAAAGAATAACTAGTGACATAAAACTAGGAACTATGAACTCTCTGCCAAGGTAGCATTTTTTCAACATTCATTTGTTCTTTTTGCAATTTTACCCTTTACATTTTAATACTCGTAGAATCGGTGGGTTTAATCAAGCCTTGCTATCTATTGTACGAACGATAAATTTAAATAAATAATTTAATTAAATTATTGGCTGAATAAATAGTTTAAAAAAAAATCGCATTTCCAGTTTTTAATGCTGGGTTTACAATCATATCTAAAATGTAAAATTCTAACCCGCCAATTTTAATTTTGGGCTCTGCTGCTCGGGTCAAATGGTATTCCATAATAGCAGGTAACGCGTCGGTGCTTGGCAAAATAATTCCTATGATTTGACAATCCATTTATCTAAAATCCCGGTACCTCGAATCCAGTCATCATTCCGAATAGCTATTCCAAGTTCAAATTTACCTCAATTTCGTTAATTTTATTAATTGATTTTATTCTGATATACCTTCGTACCCATGAGGGAAAATTTGATATCACGGAGGTAGAATTTGTACCACATAAATAGTGAATATTATTTATATTGTACTCTTTAAAAATACAACTATTTACTGAATCATTCAACCAATCTGAATGCAAGAAAGAGATGTTTAACAATGTCACACTTTGTTCTCTCTAAACTCTAGCCTAAAAACCGACTAGAAAATACGATAGATATAATATAATTGTATTTTAATTTTTTCCTAAATAAATATTATATTATTCATTGGTAAATTCAATGGATACCAAACAATGATTCGAAGACTTCAGTGCGAATAATATCTTTAGAAAACGACACTAAAATGATTAAAATTCTTTCCAAATATCAACATACTGTTGCAATACATTATAGGAAAAAACAGCTATCTCTACCATTCGATCAAATAATGAAATTATTGATTACTCATTTTCACAATTAAATGCGTCAAGCATTTGTGAAACATCTAATTTATATAGGCTTAGTACTAAAGACAAAAACAGGGCATATAAACTCATTTTATAAACATTCATACATATAATATACGAATACGGTTACCTCAATCGTCTTAAAAAAAATTTCTTTTCATGCCCGTGTATAAAAGTATACTAGATTTTTGGAAACATTACAAATAATTTCATATTAGCGACAGTATAGATAAATTCATTTAAAATCTTTCGAACCTAAAATATTTGAATACAAATACCAAATAACAGTAAGCTATGTTTTATTTCTGCCACAAAGGAGGCGCCAGAGAAAACCGGCACAGGAAGCAGCCCTATAATATTTGAATATGACTACCTCGATCTCGAAAAATTATTACTACGCATGCCCATGCATAATTAAAGAAAATATCATGCAAACAATGTAAATTTCTGCCACTAGGGAGGCACCAAAGACAGCCTGAGCCGGGTGCAGGCATATTATATCCTAAAACAACTATCTCGATCTATTGAAAGTTATTTCTCCTCATGCTCGTGCATAATTAAGCAAAATATCATGCAAATAATGTAAATTTCTGCCACTAGGGAGGCACCAAATTAAAATGGCTTGCGCAAGATGCAGGCATATTATATCCGAAAACAACTTCCTCGATCTATTGAAAATTATTTATATGCATGCACGCGCATAATTTTACAAAATATCATACAAAAAATATTTTCTGACACTAGGGAGGCACCAAAGACAGCCTGCGCAGGTGCAGGCATATTATATTCGAAAACAACTTCCTCGATCAATTGATTATAATTTCTCTGCTTGCGATATAATTTCTCTGCATCCATAATTTTACAAAATATCATACAAAAAATATACATTTCTGCCACTAGGGAGGCACCAAAGACAGCCTGCGCAGGGAGCAGGCGCGGGAGCTCGTCTTGTCGCTGGTGCGGCCTGAGGCAATAGGCAACTACTCGTGCGTCGTCACCCCCGACAGCATCATACGACATAGCGGCACGGCTTCCTTCAACCTCATGGTCGTGGGTACGTAGGTTATTTTTAGCGCATTTTCTCATTTAGGAAAAAAATGCGCTATTGTGCTCGCCATGTCCGTCCGTCCGTCCGTCTGTCTGTCTGTCCGTGACTTCACGTTTTCGTCGACGAGAAAATGCGCTCTCTGTCGCTCACTGCAGTGAGTACTGAGTTATTATTGTTTTTAGAGTGGCTAGGTTAGGATCTGTTATTCAACTGGTCCCGGATCAGTTGATCCCATGATTAGTTTAGACCAACTGAACTGATCCGAGGATCATTATTTCAACTGATCTTGAGGTGGATAGATATCTATGTTAATTTTTATGTTTACGAAAATCAATCGGGTCCATTAAAATGCATGAACTTGGGTTTTTGAAATCTAAGCAGAAATGCATGCACTCAGACCNACCCTACCAAAAAATTCAAGCTTCCATGTAATCATCCGGTCTCATAAACGCTTGTTTATGAGACCGGATATGATTGTTTTTCATACCGCAAAATTTCCGATTTTTCATACCGGCTCCTGCTTGTACCGAACCCTAATTTTCTCATCAGGTCGTGAACGAATTCATGACTCAACCGACGCAGACTCGCAGCAACAACCGAGTGCTCGTGTCTCGAGCCGTCTCATTTAAGGCTTTCCGGCAGCTCTTTACCAACGGTCACCTGCTACTAGAGTGCCGAGTGCAGCTGCTGGAGATGGAGTGGAAGACTTCGTCTGAGTTGATCTTGGAGGACCATTTACTGACATCGCATGGCAGCGCGACAGGCAACGCCACTTACTGCCGGAGGAAAAGGCTGCTTATCTTTATCACGGCGTCAGTTTTGGTCTCACTTGGAGTCATCGTCTTGATTTGCTGAGGGGTCGGGTCATTAGGTGGACTTATATCCAAATACCTGCTATAGACGCGCGTTGTACATTCACTGGCTTTGCGTCCAATGGAGGTTAGCGTTGCATATAATTCGCATTCATTTACGATGTCATTTGTTTAGAATATATTCTTGCTTGAAGACACGTCGTCAGTTAGCCAAGGAGACCATGAAGAAGAATTAGATGCACTTAAATTCAATTACTTAATTTAATGGTTACAGCACTCTATATAGATATAATATAAGTTATGGTACTATGGATAGCATATTGAAGCGTGTTTCTCTGTGCCAAGTAATGCCAACTTTTTATTGAATGATACCAAGGTTATGTTCCCCGTGGATGATATGTGCTTGAGAAAACCTCTACTCGTATACTAAGGGAAATTCAATACTGTATTTACTTTGTCTATGACTTGCTATCTTGCCAGATTTAATATATCATGCTCGTCTTATCGATCATATCAGCGCCAATGCCTGGAGTACTGAAATTATAGGCCATTTTTGTTTCATAAATAGCGTAGTGTTCGATCAATCAATAAGTGAGAATACTCTCATTATATATTTTTGGTTAAACGCGAAGAGAATTAGAGGCAAACTGCCGATCGAAATTTTTTTTGGTAATCTCACTTAATTCACAATAAATTTCGGAGCAATAGTGTTTATGGAAGTCACTGAACGACTGAACGTCGATTGCAGTGTTGTTCATTTACTTTACAGCTTTTTTCTTACTCATATACAGTGGGGGGAAATAAATATTCGTACACTTGAAAAATCGTATTTTAATGTATGTAAGTACACAAACTGAACAGGAGAAGTGATTTAAATTATGTATAGAGACGCATAGTATTCAAAAATACTATCAAAAGAAATTAAATCTCAATGCAACAAAAAACAATGCAACATGTTCACTTTTCGGG